CACAGTCCACAAATCATGTCCATAGAAGCAATTGAATTAGCACATTCGAATAAATTTGAATAACCACATACCTTGTTGAGGGATCCCCTCCGACGCAGACGATGTCGATGGGTTTTGACCACAGTCACAATCGGATCCACATCTTCTTTTCCAACATTCTCCTGCTCTGCATTTTTCCCCTTTTCCAACCTCGCCACCTCCGATACGCTCGCTCGTCTCACCCTACGATCTAACGACGATGGTAGAACCGTCGGTGAGGCCAGCAACCGTCCTTCTGAAGTGAATCGGAGAGAGGAGGGCTCTGGGTCGGACGCAGTGACAAGGAAATCATCCTCAGAGCTAGTCCTGCCAATCCGATTACTATGGCGACTGCAACTGCGACCACAACCACTACCCGCCTGGTATTGATTCTCAATTTCGGAGCCAGAAGGGGAGGGAGGAGTAGTTTCTCCAGGCGAATGATAACGTCTTCTTACACCATCTAGAGTTACGGACTTGATCAGGTCAGCACCAAGTGGATGATCGACAAGGTGCTGCAGGTGGTGTTGGTGACGCTGATGCAGTTGTTGGCGCTTATCTTTCAACCTCGTGGTCGGTGCATAGAGCCATTGCTCAGCCATTGAGAGAACTTTAGCGTCGTCGGGCTTGTCAAAGGCTGTAGAACCCATAGCAAGGTGAGAAATGCGTTCCGGATGAAGGCGAAGCCAGGTCATACACCATTCCCCGTCGAAGTCTAAAACAAACTCCACGACGTGAGACAGAAGCCACCATTGACTTAAACAATTAATCGAATTAGGCGAGAAAATCTGAAATGAAAGTAGTCAGAAACGTACCTGGACGGGAGCGGGTTACACCAGACGTTAAACCCTTATGAGAGACGTTCTCCATGCTGCCAAGCCGCTGAAAGCGAAAAAAATAAAGCCAATCAAGGAACTATCTTTCTGCATTTGCAGTAACTCTCACCATCAATGTGAAGAGCACAAGTAAGACTTGAACGGTTCTTTGAGAATTAGAAGCAAATGTGACACACAGGACAGATTATAATGAAAGGTTCATTATTAGTAATCAATCAAATCTTTGAATTTGAAAAATAAAAACATTCACGAAGAAACATAGGCATTTAACAGAAGATTCAAACAAATGAAACTCCATTCAACTACGTT